AACCCACATTTATGATCTATTCAGTTGCACCGACCACTGATGACGACATTGGAGATGTACTAAAAACTTTAACTGCTAGAAAAATGCATTGTTAAATATTTAAATGTTCTAATACTACTCCTCATGTAAAAGTTGTTGGACTTTGGTTGAAAATTAAAACGTGAAAACATATAATAAGAGACGTAAATCGGGGTTTAAAAAGACCGAAATTGGGGAGTTTTTGCTCTGATTTCTTGTACTAATTTTGTGGAACCACAATCAAACCCACTAAATGTATAAAATATTTCAAAAGTACGTAAACTATTTAGATACTCCCATAGAAAAATTTTACAAGAAATTAATCTCCAAGAATGAATTCATTATATCGATCCCAACTTTTAACAAGAAGGCCCAAAATAAATGTAATGTTAAAGCTTGAGACGGCGAGGGAGCTGGGGATGGTAGGTTAATCATGAACCGTTGTAGCCCACAGATTGCATTCAATCACTTTTCGCCACCATCATTTTCTTAGAAAAAGGCTAAATGAATACGTGTTAATAGTCTTTACCAAAAAAAAAAAAATACGTGTTAATAGTACGAGAAATCTTAAACTAGTATATCTGTAATAAATTTATCACAAAATAATTTTTTAAGCGCCAAAAATCCCAAACTTGTACATTTATAACAAATTTATCCTCTATCATAAAAAATTACAAACTGATACACCCGTGACAAACGGAGAGTAAAATCCCAAACTAGTACACCCGTCAATTGTCACGTGTCATCCAATTCAGCAATTTGGTGGTAAAATTTCACAGAAACTAACGGAGGGTAAATTTATCACAGGTAAACCAGTTTGGGGTTTTTAGTGATAAAAAAATTAGTCACATGTGTACCGATTTAGAGTCTTTCATGGTATTCACCCAATAAATAACCTTCTTTCCAAAATTAAACCATGCCTTTTCTTCTCATTTTGCTGAATGGATTGGTGAGTTCATTTTCAGTTTTTTTAAGTCATAATTTTACTTTATGAAATTTTCTACCAAAACCTAAATACTGTTCGAACTTCAAAATGTGCGTACTATATATTAATGTTAGCACATTTTGACATGTTTTATAGATATTTCGTGCTCAGTTAAATATTAATTAGGTAAAAAGCAAAATGGAAAAAAAAAGTTAGAATGAAAATATATTAAATCGATTTTCTTTTTCATTTATGAATATTTCCGTGGGAAGTTTTTGAAACCTTGCCTATGAAGTTTTCTGTCAAAATGTACTGACAAAGGCACCTCTCTCTCTCGAACGGAACATGAGACAGACACATGACCATTTCGTCATCATTGTCAGGGCTGGACATGGGAAGATTTGTCTTTCTTTTTCCCTGAATTTTGTGGTCAATTCAAATATATTTTTTTTCCTCCGGATCAACAGACGATAGTTAATTTTCAAATGTGTCACTCGGTAAGTTTTCGCTATTCCAATTTGTAATTCTCAAATGTATTTATTGAACAGCAAATTTCTTTTCTTTTTTTTTGGTAAGGAAAGATTGAACAGCAAATTTCGTTGTTTAAATAAGTGCACAAAATGCATTTTCGAAGTAGAACAAAAAAAAAAAATAGAAGATGAATCCGACCAAAAAAAAACAAAAACAAATAGAAGATGAAAAATGGTATTCAGATGAACACTCATTAGGGCTTTTGGTATTTTCCCCCCTTTTTTTGGAGATGGTGCAGTGGCCTTTTCCGTTTTATAAATAAATTCAAAAAATGCATTTTTAAAAAAAAAAAATAGAAGATGAAAAGTGGTATTCTGATGAACAATCGTTAAGGCTTTTAGAAATTTTCCCTTTTCTTTTTTCTGGAGATAGTGCAGTGGCCCGTTTCGCGTTTTAGAATAAAGTCCAAATTTCTAATCTGGTCAAAGATTAGCTATTTGCACCGAGATTAGAAATTTATAAAAACGTACTTCTTCATAAGCTAATCTCAACGTATTGCGTAAAGTAAGAATCAGAACTGAAATTTCGAGCGTCTTTAAAAAGTCAACATCTTTTAAGTTTATATCGTACCGCACGATGGCATTTCAGGGCGACAAAAGGTACAAGGGCGATGATTCGACTATGTACTTGGTTCACTAACTATTGTAGATGCACTAGACAATTTGGTGCACAAAGATTCCTCCGGTTTGTCCATATATTCGCCAATTTCTTTGCGCGTGGGATATATATGATGATATATATATACCCAATAATATTCGGTTCATGCAAATGCAATGAATTAATATGTCCACTGATTAACTCATTTAGCTTATCTCTCTCGGCATTAGTTGGAATCGAGTGGTGATAAATGGCCATGAGCATCCATTACTAGGAGTGAGATGAGGTTAGTGATAACCAGCTAACTGCACCAAAGCCTAAACAGGATCACCGCCAACTATTCTAAATTTGGGCCAAAATGGAAGGAAGAAAGCATGTGTCAAAATCCAAATTCTTTTGTTATTGGCACGTGTTTGCTTATGGGTCGGGGTCACGAGGATCAAATCTCGGTTCCATGGTTTTAGATAATCGGGGATATCCAAATCTTGACTCGACTAATTTCCACCGGGGCATGCAAACTACCCAACAAGACTTCACTTATCGAGGTGAGCCTAACTTTGTTAAGCAATATGTTATATGTACAATTATTGACCCGTGTAATAACAACTTAGGGTTTCCGGAAAAATGGTTTTTCAAGCATGCTTTCAAAGCATTGGTCTCGGGTTGAAATCTTTGCACTCCTTAATCTTATCCTATATGTTACTTTCGTTATTCTGTTTGTTTTCCTACTCCCCGATCTCTCGTTGACCTGATTATGTTCACATCCTATTTTGTGCGGGTAAGGGACTGGCTTACACACGAGAGATGTTAAGAAATATATTGTACAATCCAATTGATGGGTAGCTTCCTAACAACTAAAAGCTTTTGGGGGGAAGAAAAAAAGATTGTCTTATCTAACATCCTCTAAAACGTGCGAAGGGTCAAGACTTTAGGTTCCAAGGCATTCCAACCTGTTTTTCGTTTTGCCTTTTAATGTTGCTTGTCAACTGAACCATTCATGCACCGACAAGTATTCAGCATGGCAACACATCGCTAGTTTTTTTTCAAACATATTGAAAAGAAGAGGAGCTGATCACCAATGGAATCACACAAAACGTCAAGAAGCAAGAACAGGGAGGGATTACTTTAATCCAAATTATCCATATTGGCTGCAGCATCTTCACAAGTTGATCAGGACGTAAAAGAGGACGACTTAGAAAACTTTTAAGCGTGGTTAGTCCAAGATGGGCCTGCACCAAGACATGCTACAAGGATGACCCGTGTCCCTCCTTTCCTCGTACCAGCCTCGTAGAAGGGAGCGAGGTCTTTGACCATCACACGCTGAGCTTGTCCTAGGGTTTCAGATAGCAGTAAAAGGACTTGATGATATTGAGAGAAAGAGGAAAACTCGAATTAAAAGTGTGACGGTACGCCCAAGTCTTACATTGGATTGGTGAGATCTTGTGACTTCCCCACCAAAACTGCCAACGTCTTGGACGGTTTTGGCTTAAACAGTCAAGCGGTACTCTTATTATTTAGTGCACGATCCAATCCATTCCTGCCTATTCGCTTCCTTAAAATTTGCTAGGAGTTGAACCTTATCCGAGTTCTCTCACCCTGCGGTCACTCTCCTGTTCTTGTTGGATCGGCCTGGGCCTAGCCATCCTCGAATCACACATTTATTAAAGAGGGTCCTGTTTGATACCATCTGTAACGATTTGACCTATTCTACACGGGTCAAGTTCCGAGAAAAAGTATTCAAAATAACATACGAAATGATAAACAGGACAAGACCTTAGTCATTCAATGTGGACTTGGGGTGTCATAAGCGGACGGAGATCATTTTCACTAGTCATATTTTATACCGATATGTTAGAATGCACATATGTTAGGACAAGGTGAAAAAGCACAATTGCAAAGACCCTCGTCTTGCTCAACGAAGATCCTTAATTTGAGTTGTAGTAATGCCACTACTTTTGGATCGATATTGCGTTATGTGTAAGAAGTTCCATATTTTGGAAACTTTGTAATACTTTCATTTGTTTCATTTGTCGTTGGATAAATTACTACACAAATTCGAACGAAGAAATTAGATACAATGATTGCAAGGTCCTTTCCATATTGCCCGAATGTTCTTAAAAAGCTAACATAATCAAGTTCCATTTTGATTTCACTTCTATTTTTTGTTGCCACCGACCAGTAAATTGACTAATGTGAACTTGAATTCCGTTACAACTCAATAGTTAATGGTTCTGTGGGAACGCAGCTAGTGCTAAACAGCTAACATATATACGAGTATTTGTTCTATCATTTCCGATGGAAAAAACAATTTAATTTCTACATGTGATAATGAAGCGTAGTCCTGCGTTCATATGAAACATGGTCAGGCGTTCATATGAAACGCAGTGGTTCCAAAATAAGTGTCAAATGCATGCATTCTTCACACCGACCTCCGACACATTCTTTGCACTGGTGGTGGCTGGAGCGTCCTCCATTTACAAGTGGATATTTGAACTCATTTAGGCACACATGCCCTCTAGACAGACGTTTCAGGTTATTCTTTCTTTCTTCTGAATGACACAAGAAGGTGAGGAACATCACTAGGACTGTTAGAGATACCTAAATTCAACATCAAAGTGTTATCAGGTTGCATAATGCAGACTTTGATCCTTCTGTTTCTGCTACTGTTGCAGCGCATTTTGACGAGTGGTTTTTGTAGGAAATTAGTTTCTGGGAAGCATATTATCTCTCATGCAATTGTACTGGTGAGTATGTCATAGGATTTCTATGTATGAATTTCCAAATTTGTAATCCCGTGACTACCTTTTTGAGGTTTGAGTTGGTTCATTGAAGGTCACCAGCTTAATTTCTTCTTTCGTTTGTATTTCTAACTGTGTATGTAGCTTGTGTTCTTAGAAAGGATGCCTGTCGACATAAGAAACCGCAAAAAGGAAAAAACAAACGAGATTATATTTTAACTAAGGAAAGTTATACAAGACAAGGGAAAGCATTACTTTACACATACATGTTCTGCCAAAGATGGGCAGGAAGTCTTAGAAAGGGGAGGTGTTTTTGTAGCTGAAGAGAGAAATCTTCCATGCATTATATCATTTTTCACGGGTACCAAGACATAGAGGAGCCGAAGAGGGCAAAAGATAAGAGGCAAACTCAAGTTCCATATCAGGAGATAGCAGCAGAAAACCTAAACATACCTGGGATACAGCGAAAAAGGACCTAAAGGACGATCCGAGATGAAGAGGTGAATTTGGTTTTATATAGAATACCACCTCATTGCAACAAAACTAGATGAACCTTCATTTGAGATTTTAATCGTCAGAACGCCTGTAATCAGAAGGCGGGTTGTCTCCAAACACTTGATTGATTAAGTTATATTGGTTGGCGTCCGTGCTGGATGCACCGGATTGTGATGAACCGGACTGATCTTGCAAGGAGGAGCTGTGATTGTGAACCCCTTCGTACACAACTCGCAAATCTCCTGGCTCGGTCTCTGACCATTCAGCTCTTTTCTTCGCATTGCATCCGGCCCTTTGGCACTTGAAGTAGCTCCTAATCAAATGAAAACCAATGGTAAAATATTACAATTGTTTTCCTACACCTCCCACAAGTACTCACTCAACTTAAAAAACCTCAACTTCATTCATCCAGAGAACATCAGCTTCCTCAATGATGTGCCTTTGAGAGGCCGGTTTTTGAGAGTAAAGATCAAGTTTTCATGAATTATTGACAAGTAATTGGTTATTACCTAAATTTTCCAATGTTCTTGATGAATTTTTGGCCATATTTCCTCCATTCATAGCCATCTTGAGGTAATTCCAATCTGTTACCGGTGTCTCGGTCCATGTCTTTCCTGGCCGATTTACTTCTACTAAGCTTCCCCTATGAATGAACAAATATAAAAGAGAGGATCGCGCATTAATACCTGCTTCTTTGTCTAACTTGAAGTACCTATACTCATAAAAATCACACATCTTTGATCTATTCAAATGCATTTGAGAGAGAGAGAGAGAGAGAGAGAGAGAGAGAGAGAGAGAGAGAGAGAGAGAGAGAGAGAGAGAGAGGCATTTTCTCCGATATTGGTATTTAAGACACCAATTAAGTGGACAAGTTAACGGGCAAGCTGAAGTAGACCTACCCAGAAAAGAGGTACCAAATGGGTTGAATCTTGATTACATTTTCAAGAAAGAACTGTCTTTCTTGATGTTTAGGGCTTGAGATGGGGAAAAAATAAAAGAAAGAAAGAACTGAGCGGGCAGTGAAATAGAACCACTACCAAGCTGGTCTGGATCTATGGATCTGTGAACACTTCCAAAAAGAAAGAGATCTGAGAGAAGAGAAACAGTTTGTATAGACACAGATCTGTTCATAAAAGGCATAGACTTAATTTGCATCATATAAAACACACCTCTTTTCTAGGTTTTCTTGCAACAGTAGCTGCAGAAAAAAGAACCCAGATGCAAGAATCTTACACAGAAGTGGAGAGAATTTAGTCCACTCCGAGAAGTAAATGCCAACGAAGGGGTATAAATACCACAAGTTTCGCCAAGATCAATAAAGTAAACACCATCTCGATCAAAGTAACATCTGAGAAGCATCAGGACATCCAATCTGGGAGGGCTTTGGCTTGGGTTCTGAGAAAATACATGGCAAGGGTGAGGAAAGTGCATGAAAGCAACGCCCGCACGCACTCACCTCTTATTTTCCACATATCCTTAATGGTTTTACATCATTCTCCTCAGCTCCCAATTTTCCAAAGGAAGACAAACAGAAGCTCGGTGGGAAGAAGTGAGGAAAGAGAAACAAAGGGTATCGTGATATTGGTACATACATGGTGGCTGCTGCTGCTCTGAGTAGGGAAGCTTCTCTGATGATATCTTTCTGTTCCCCAAAAGGCCAAAAACCTACTTGAGTTCTTAACAAGTGGGAGAAAACCTGAAAGTGAAGTGAGAGAGAAAGACCAAAAATAAGTGAGAGAAAGACCGGACCACTCCAGCCAACCATCGCCGTGATGGATAGTACATGTCCAAGTTCACTTTATTATAGTTTCAATGTAGAATGTGTTTACACATGAAAACTCGAGAGAATTCTTAATGAACGATTGAGATTTAATAATTTGCGATCAGACGGCTTTTGGATTGCTGACAAATAATTTCTAATGAGATGATTTTCTATTCTTGAAGATCGGTACCTTGAAGATAGTACGAACCACCCTTGCCCCACCCCCTTTCACTTTTGTCTCTCTCAATATCTGACACTAGTCGTATTTCTTACCCGGACAATATTGGAATAGAAAGCAACGTCACAAAAAGAAATGAATTAGTCTAATCAAATTATAAAATAAGATTTCATGACATCATTTTCGGAAAATAGTTTTTATACCTTTAGCATCGTTCTTCTTGTTATCGGCTAGACCATTCTTTTAGACAAGTTAGAGCGGAAATTGAACCCATCACAATAAAAAAAAAAGGGTCTTGTTAATAAGTACATAATTAAAGTGCATCTTAGAGCATTTTTGACAATTGAAAAAGAACATATCTCAAAACGGGAACATATCTTCGAATCATTTATGATGTTATCGTATAAAATAATACCGTGAGTGCAAAGAATGTTTCACACAAACGGTGTCATCCGTCCTTAAAATTTGAAAATTACGATCACACATTTGCTCTTTCTAATCAAGTGTCTTAACTTCCACGAAGGGCATGGAATGGGCCGCATCATAATATTCAAAATCTATTATTAAAATGAACCTTGACTTGTATAGTAGTAAACCCTTCTTTCTTCGGCGTGCCCATTGCTTTTGCTTTACTGAATAATAATAAACATATAAACGTTCTGGAAAACTCATATTATTGGCTGGGAGGGTCAACTTCTAACAGTTGAATGAGTGGTGAGGTAAGGGAGAGAATAACATTAAATCCTCCCGAGCTTGGGCCACTGAAGTAGGTGCACGTGTTACAGCCTTAAATTTCCAGGAAATTTTGTGTGCCGCCGCCGCCACCCCCACAAGAAAATTCAGAAACTCAAAAGGAAAAAAAAGTTACAATAATATTAAATTCAATAATTTGATATATATATATATATATTCCAACTTACGCGCGGATATTAAAGTGCTATGCAAAGGCTTTATCTTAGATCTCGTTTAGATCTTGAGATTCATATAACAAAAAGCAAATAGAGGGTAGAAAAAGATATGAGGAGAATTGGAGGGACAGAATGTACCGGTACCGATACGTTAAAATAAAAATTGCATTTATATAGTCCCACTGTCACTACAATACAAACAGACAAGCCGCGGAGGCTCCTGTCAGATCTTTGGCTCCTCCTCTGGCTCCTCCTCTTCGGTAAGGTTAACTGTTAACCGAGCACTGATGATTCAAGGAGAACCCCCTATTAAGGGCGCGCAAATTCTTAGGAGCTTCGAATTTGATAATAAAAGAGAAATGTACGAGTCGCGGGATTCAAATAACATTAAATAAAATTCAAATATGTCTCCAAGACGAGAGGGAAGACCCAAAAAAAAAAAAAAACAAGAAGAAAACGTCAAAAGGAGGTGCAGGAAAAACCGGAAAAATTGGACCAGATGCAGCTCAAGCAGATAGGGATGTTTCGTAAAAATTGGCAAGAGCACGGAGCGGACAGCTGGGTGTGACGCAATCACGGTGACGTCACTCCCCGCCAATTCTCTCCTCAGCTTTTTGTCGCGACTTGCCCGGACAATGACGTCACGACTGAGATGCGAGTCCCGTACCGATGGAGGGGTTTGGGAACAACTGGCGTCGGCAGGTTTCGTCAGGAATGTGTCCAAAAGAACAGGGTCCCATGTCGTCGCTCCCCACCCCCACACACACACACACATTCACACACCCAAACAAAGTTCCATGTCGGATCAGGCACGGATGGCCATCGGATTCGACAGGCTTCGTTGTCGGATCCACGCGAGACCTGGCCCCCGTTCCCGACGGGATTCGATCCCGTACGTGCATCATTCGAGCGCGCTCTGGAGCGTCTCGATGGATTGTTAAAGGACGGCCGGACGGACGGGATGACTACCCCGATCTGGAGGGGTGTTTTCGCTCCGGAGCGGCGCCGGTGGGGGGATTCAGGCCCGTGGCCAAACCGTTCGGTAAACCTGCTCTAAGCATGGAGGATTAACCGGTGTCCGGCTTCTCTCTACAGGGAAGATCGGGCTAAGGTGATACTCGTCGGCTTTAGGTCCCGAGTTTTGTTTGCTAAACCGTCCGTCGCCTTTTGGCTTAAGGCGACGGAATCTTTATTTTTTTTGTCGCCGGAGGTGGCTGGAGCCGTGGAAAGACATCTTTATCACCCCGAGTCACCAATAGCGACGAATTGGGTGTGCTGCGTTTGATTGCCGAAACGATGAAAATGATTTTCATCTTGGGCTCCATTTGTTTCACGGAAAATGAATTATTCGGAAAACATTTTCCTCAAAACGATCGCTTGTATCGCTTACAAAAATAAATGAACGAATAATATTTTTTATCATTCACGAAAAATATTTAAATATAAATTATTATCGATAATGAAGATATTTTCTATTGATTAATTATTTCAAGCGATACAAGCGACTATTTTTAGGAAAATATTTTCCAAATCATTCATTTTCCGCGAAACAATCGTCGCCCTAGGAATCCAAAGGCGACAAAATTAGCTCGTATCGGGAAAAGACGAGGAAATTTATTTTGTCGCCTAAGGTTGATTTTTCGGCAAAAGTTAGGTTAAAACACGACGAAAATGTTATCGTAATCAGTACTTTTTTGTTGTTGTTTTAGACTAATTTTTGTGACAAAGTTACCGTGACAAATTCTTAATTTTTGTTGCCTTAGGCTCTTATTTGTATCTACTTATAAATTGAAGTTTGATTGCAATGGAGTTTCATAGCATAATCAGCTAATAAAAACATCAACACAACAATAAGTTCATAAGATAAAACACACATAATAAGTTTAATTACACTCATCATCGATGGTGTGAAACACAATTTAAGTAAAAAAATGGAAAAAAAAAAGCCTCAATAACTAAAAAAGTCAAATAAGTAAATGGATACTCTGAGTTTTTAAATGGTTAACTAATGCAAAGAAAGATTGATCAATAAAAATTCTTTAGAAAAACACATTAATTTGGGTTAATCATTTCCTTCTTACGGGTTAAGGACATCATTTCCTTTTATTTTTTTCTACAAATAATTTTATTAACCGATTGTTTTTTCCATTAATTAACTCTAAAAAATATACATAACGTATAACCAATTTTCGTAATGCCTTTGAAAGAAAACCCGCCGGAACTAGTCAATAGATTAAATTACGCTCCTAGCAATGCAACGGTCGCTTAGGCTGCGAACGATAACCATTCTGTTTCTCTATTTTTCTGTTTCTGAAATAAATTTGGAACATAAATCTGTTTGGTAACACAATTTCATTTTTCTATTTCTAGAACAAATTTTGATTTCAGAAATAGATTTAGAGCAGAAATGAGAAGTAAAAATTTTCTAATTTTCTATTTTTGGAACAAAAATGAGAAATAAAAATTCTTCTCATCGCTCGCCCTCGCTACTAGTCAGTCACCCACCCGCCATTCGCCGCCGCTCACTTGCTGTCCGCCGCCTCCCACCGTCCGCCGCCCGCCGTCTCCCACCACCCGCCATTCGCAGCTAACCTCCTGCCTGCCTCCCGCCTCCCGCAGCCCCTCGCCACCCACTTGCTGCAGTCGCCCGCCGGCCGCCGTCTCCCGCCATTCGTTTGCTGCCCGCCGCCCTCCTCTCACCGCCGCCCGCCTCTAGCCGCCATTTGCCGTCCGCCACCCACCCGCTGTCCACTCGTCAGCCGCCTGGGAGGGAGAAATTTTGTACTGTTATCAAATAAATTTTTGTTTCGAGAACAGAAATTTTGTGTTGTTATCTAATACGTATTTTTCTCAAAAACTCATCAATGGAATAGAAAAAGAAAAATTCATTTCTGGCCAAAAATTAATTTCTGAAACAGAATGGTTGTCATTCGCGCTCTTGCTCTACTAAATTTTTTTGAAATAGAATGATTATTATTCGCGTCCTTACTTTACTGAGTTTCAAGAAAACTGGTGGTTGGAGAGGGACTACTACTACAACTACAAGTTTTCTCATTTAAGAGATTATGACTGGTCCAGAAGAAGCAATAAATTGGGGGTATATTGGGACCATTGCCACAAGTTTCCACAATCCAATGGGATCTTTGTAAAGTTGATCATTATGAATGTTGTTTTCTATTTTCCGTAGATTCATTCTTTTATTATTATTTTTCTCCTGCTCTATAGGAATTTTCTTGCTCATTTCAGTCATTTGCATGATCATTGATGTGAGTGCGGGCTAAAGAAATGTCTCCACCTACTACCGACTGTCTTTCTTCGAAATTCTACTGAACGGGTCAATGCTGCCCACGTTCCATCGTGCAAATAAATAGGGTCTTTTTTTTGGTTATTGAAGCATTTTCCCTTTTTATTTTACTCTTTTTTTCAAAATATCTTATTTAGTTCTATTAAAGTGGCTATATATATAATTTTAACAAATTTTTTTCGTCTAATATATTTATTGATATTTATTTTAGTTGATTTAGTTTTACCCGATGCCCATATTTTTCACTTATTTATGGCATACAAGGGCAAAAGAGAGACTTCTGTCAAGAAAATGAGATGAAAATATACTTTTACCTCGGAGACGTCATGTGTATTGCACATGCTAATGGAAAAAAAAATAACGGAGGATTGACGGTTATAACAAAATAAAATTTTAAGGGGATATTGCTTAACAGTTGAAAAGTTTGGGTAAACGTGTACTACCCTCATAATTCAGGGAGGTTTGGTGTAATTTCTCCTGCATATATTTCAATATGTTAATTTATTAAAGAGCTTATGTGACATCACATGTAGATTTTTACCCGTTTCTATATAGTCCTTTAAAAGAATCAAATTTTTATTTATTTCGAAGATGTGGGGAGGATCGGCATAGATTTGCTTTACCG